GCAGGCAGTTATTGTCTTCGGTGGGTAATTATTCTTCATTATCGACCGGTCTTCAGACCAACATTCAACTTTGTACTCTCTTCCCATTCATTTTCTTCTTGATCTTAAACTTTTCTTGAATAAGTATAAAAATTAATTTCTAAAATATCTTATTGTTATATATATATATATATATATATTGTTGCGGACAAGAATATACGCGGCGATAGATGCCAGCGGTTTTAACCGGTGCAAATAGAAGCGGGTATAACCGCTGCAAAATAGATAATTTTATTTTTAAATTTTCAGTTTTTGCAGCGGTTTTTAAAACCGTTGCGCGAAACCGCTGCGAAAGCGCGCGTTTTTTGGTAGTGATATACGCGGCGATAGAGTTAGAAAATTTCCATATCAGGATTGTACGGATATCTAGCACACAAACATGAGAGAAATAACACCAAGATTTTTACGTGGAAAACCCTGAAAAGGGAAAAAACCATGAGGTCATGCCGAGTTGAAATAATTACACTAGTGTTTGTTTGAGGTACAAGAGTCTGACTCGTCCTTAAAATTTAGGACGATCAGATTACAATGCTTCAGTTCCGGATTGAATTCCAATTACAAACAAGTTGTGTATTCGAGCCAAATTCAAAATCACTTAGAATTCCGACGTCACTTGGAAATCTGACAAAGTTCCGACGTCACTTGGGTGTCAGACAGAATTCTAGCGTTACTTTGGCGTCGGGCAGATTTCCGGCGTCACTTGGGCAGAATTCCGGCATCGCTCGGGTGTCTGGCAGAATTCAGGCGTCACTCGGACGTCGGGCAGAACTCTGGTGTTACTCGGGCGTCGAGCATAACTATGGTGGTGGTCGAGGAGTTATTCCCTCTATTATTTCATTAATGTGAGAGAAAAACACAGAAAAATCAGATAAATTTTGACTAAGAAAATATATAAGATGAGCATTGATATTCTTCCAATTGGTGAATGTTTAATTCAAAGTGTACTATTGCTTTAATGGCTTTTAAGGCAACTATATATATAAATGGTAAGTTCCGAAATTATTTTCAATGAAAGTCTTAATAATTTGAAGAGATTTGGGGGCCTATCTATATTTGTACTTTTTTCCTACTAGTGTTTGGTAGTTAATAATAATTGTGATATAGATTTTTTTTAATAATATTATTTTATTGAATTTCATGATAATTTGATAAATATTGACTAATATGTTTATATATGAAACCTTAAACTATAATTCATTTGTGCATTCCTTCACCTCTATTATTTCTAGAGGAGAAAAAAGCAATATTGTTGATATGTTTACGAAAAATTTGTATCATAGACATAAATTTTGAGATAAAATTTAAATTTAAAACTTTTGAAATTAAATTCATAATTTAACTTCCGATTTTTACAAACATATAGTTAAATTAGAAGTCTAAAAAAGATGAACACAATCATACCAAAATTGATCCAATCATACCAAAAGTGCTCCTATTTGAACCTAAATGAAGCCAAATACCGCACTTAATGCATAATTGGAAATTTAAAAAAAGAGAAAAATAAAAAATGTATAATTGGAAACTTGATGCAGTTATTAAATGAACATATGATCTCCAAATTTTGCATGCTTATAGTCGAATCAAGCAGTCTGATGAGACGAATATAATGAGCCTAAGATCACTAAATTTTGATATAAGTAAGAAACTTAATTGCAGAGAAAATGTTTATGATCAATAGAATCATTATGGACTATACGACGGAGCGCTTTGAATTACACCAAAATTTAACAAAATGTCCATATCAAAAAGCTTATAAATAGAGTCTTACTCTCTCCAGAAAAGGAATGGTCTAAGAGTTAGAAAAGAATAGAGCTCCCTTACATTTTCTAGGTCTCGGTCGTCGTTGAAGACCACCACCAACAATCGTCATCATCGTCTACATATATCTGCCAAGTTATAACACTGTTGTTGGATATTAACTGTCCATCTATGAATAATTGAGTTTTGTAATCTTTACAAAAGAGAAATCATATATTTTACTCCTCAATAGTCGTCTTGTTCTTCAATTATGACAAAAGAAAGATTCTAATATCTCGTGATGAATAGTGGATTTTTAAACTAGGCTAAACCCCATAGTTTTTTCCTTTTCTATGTTTTATGTTTAATTTTTTTTACCTTCGATAACTTTTAGTTTTTGTGTGCTGAATTTTTATTCAAAATGAAGATATAAAATACTAAATTTACTGAGACAAACTTTTCAACACATAACAATTATCTTTTTTTTTTTTTTAAAAAAAAAATTGTTCAATAATATTGATAATCTTTTTTTCAAAAATAGTATTCCAGCTCGGTCTATATTGATAAGTACATCATTTCTTAATGATAACACAAATATCAATATCTCAGTCTCATACAATCTTATCATTTCTAATGCATCTCATATGTAATACTCAATATTCATCGTACCAACACGAGTTATCTTCATAATTAAAACCCTAAATTTTTACATCCACATCCTTTTAGCATGCATGCACTATAGCCTTAACCATACAAATCAACATCATTATCATATAACTAGTTCATGAATATATCTCTTTCAAACATGCCAATCACTACCCTAAAATACCCCAACTAAAATTAAAATATTCAACAACCACCAAAGACCTTTCTATACAAATAATCCCAATGTAAACAAACTGTCAAGACCTTTGATATCAGTACTTATAGGATTTTAGGGGCCCAGTGAAACTGGAGATGGGCTTTAAAGTCCAAGTCCGCGCCGCCTGACCAAATGATTGGGCTTTGTCAGAGCCCGCAGTGGGCCCGGCCCGTAGTGACCGTCGGATTATGATCAGACTAATTAAAAATTATAATAACTAAGTTTTTTAATTATATAAAAGAACGGAAGAGGAGAATAATGAAGCACCGGCCGCTCGGCTTCGGCCTTATGATTCCACCGCGTCGCAATGGTAGTTCTGACACGCTTTATAATTGAGGCCGGTGGCATGTGCGAAGTGTACCACACGATAATTATAAATGTCACGATAATAAATAAATATTTATTGCAATTAATAAATATTTTAAATAGTATATTTTATACAAAGAGAATTAGGGCTAGTGATTTATTAATATAGGCTAAGTTTTATTAATTAATTGAGTTCAAATTTGAGATCAAACAGCTCATTTTGGTCTGTTGGTTGGGAACTTAGGTTATAACCAAAGAAGTATCGAGTTCGAATCTTGTGTATGCGTCTGTTTTAATTGCCCTAAATGTCTGAAAGAAGCTCAAATTCAAGCTTAATTCTACTAGTTTGAGCTGATAAGTAATTCGACTCATTCACATGCATATCATGAATGTTTGGAATCCATATTATGTAAGGAGACATTGCTTTAGCTAAAGTCTGGGTTAGTTGGTGGCCGGGAAAAAATCCGTCGTAAGTTGGTGGCCAAGCAGAAGTCCGACGTTAGTCGGTTGCCGGAAGGAAATCTAGCATAAATTGGTGGTTGAGTAGAAGTCTGGCATCAGTAAGTGGCCCGGAGGACATACGGAGTTAGTCGATGACCAGGCAGAGTCCGACATCATTTTGGCGACGGTGGGTGGTCCGATAGTGGTCGAGGAGGAGTCTGGTGGCAATAGAACTATAGTTTCTCTCTCTTCATTCTGTTCTTTGATTGAGTTCCCCTTTCATAAGGAATAATGTGTTTATTTATAGTGGCATGACCAATAACTATGAGTAAGATTAAGGGTAAGTTAGGAGTGATTTCAATGGACGACCAATATTGATCCCTTTGATCGTGGGCTGTTTATTGGGCTTTTGAAAATCTAAATAATATCAAAATTCGGCAATCTTGGTCTCGTTGAATTCGTCTCGTCGAGCCGCTCGATTCATCCAATTTATGATTTGAACTTTCATAATGGGCTTCGAGTCTTTGATTTGGACCGATTTGGCTCGGATTGAGTTGAATTTGATGTAGTTGGGTTCATATTTTTGAGATGTTTAGTTCGACTATAATTTGTTGAAATTAGAGTTCAGATGATCCCAGATTGAATTTAGGATCTTTCCAACTTAATTTTGTCTCAAGATTTGTGCCCGATCAAGATAATTTTTTGATGATATATCAGTCTTCTTTAATTATTGAGTCATAGAAAAATTTATGAGAATAATATCTGTTTAATGAGCATATAAGTCCAATTAGTTTAATAACGACTTGATTAGCAAAGCATATATTTGGTTAACGACAAATCAAGAGGTGTTCTTTTCTTTTTAAGAAAGTGGCAGTTATTAAAAGAAGGATATGATGATTATTATGCTTATGCTTATGTGCTTTACACGGATAAACATTACACAACGATGCAGATGCCACATAGCTCTCTTCAACCAAAAGCTAGTTTTTGACCTACCTGTTAATAAAATCAGCCAATTTATCTATGAGAACATGAGTGGGCCCCTTTGTTCAATATTAATAAATCATTATTATTTTATATTTTAATAATAAAATATTTTATGTGAATTCTCTTAAAATAATTAGGTGCAAATGTGCAATATAAAAAAATTATATAAGACAATACTAATTTTTTAATGCAACGTCAAAACTATATAAATCGAGCACTGTAGCATTCAGTACTCAACCCACCGCGGGGTGGCCTGGTGGTGGAGACTTGGCTGGCCAAAGGCCAGGTCCCAAGTTCGAATCCCCTCGACGCTTCGTGACAGCCTTAAGTGTCGGCCATATAAATTGATGTGGGTTGCATGCTAGGTCGACCAGGGAGATTAGTGGCCGAAGGCTGACACTTCCTGCCAAAAAAAAAAAAAAGCTGTATTCAATGTCTTGGGCTGTGGGCCGAATTTTGTGAACAGGGCCCGCTTGCCTATCCTAGCCCATTAGCTCCTATGGGGGTATTACCGTAAAAGCGCATCACTGTCCTCATCCCAGGCAAGAATCAAGATCTCCAACCGGGACCCACCCACCTCACCACCCGCCTATATATACTCCACAGCTTCACTACCGTACCCCTACAACCGTCTTCTTCATTCCCACCTTCCCAACACAAAGGAACAGCAAGAAACAAAAAGCTTTTTTACTTTATGGTTGACGTCGACCGCCGAATGGCCGGCTTTCCGGCAAGCCACGCTGCCGGTCTCCGAAGACTATCTACCCGCGCGGCAACCAACCCCTCATACTCTTCCTCCGCCGCCGCCCCCCGCAACGGCCTCCAATCCTTCACTCCTCTCGCTGACGCAATCATCTCCCACCTTCGCGCGTCAGGCGTCTCCATCCTTCCTGGCCTCTCTGACGCCGAGTTTGCCAGAATCGAAGCAGAGTTTGCCTTTGCCTTCCCTCCGGACCTCCGCGCGGTCCTGTCCCTCGGACTACCCTCCGGCCCTGGATTCCCAGATTGGCGCTCCCGATCACGCATCCGCGCTTCCATCGATCTTCCTATAGCAGCTGCTTCACTCCAGATCGCGCGTGGTAGCTTTTGGCCTCGATCCTGCCCAGATCGCACACTACCCGTTGCTCGTTCAGCCCTCCGTAGAGCTCCGCTTTTGATCCCGCTCTTCGATCGCTGCTATATCCCCTGCCGACCTTCTCTTGCCGGTAACCCCGTCTTCTTTGTCGACGAAACCCGCGTCCTCTGCTGCGGGTACGACCTTCCTGACTTCTTCCGCCGCGATTCCTCCTTCCGATCACCAGATCGTTCCCTCCGACGCCAGAAATCGGCAAGCGCCGCCGCTGATAAGCCTCCTCTACCTCCTCTTCCGCCTCACGCCACTCGACGTAGTCTGGATTCAATAGCCGGTAAGGCCCCTCGCTGGGTCGAGTTCTGGAGCGACGCTGTCTCGGATCGTCGCCGGCGTAACTCTTCCTGCTCCTCGTCCTCGTCATCATCATCTCCGATGCTCGATATTCCTGAGAAGATCCGGCCATCGAGGGTGCCGGAATGGGTCGACAGTTACCTGGACCGAATAGGGTCTGTGCTGAGGGAAGGAGGATGGGGGGAATCCGACGTGAACGAGATGGTCGATTCTTCTTCCGCCCCCAGCGCCTTGTTCGCTATGGTCGACGACGAGGCGGTTCTTGATGCTCTCCTTTTGAAGGCGGACAGGTGCTCGGACTCCCTGCGACGCGCAGGATGGAGCTCTGATGACATATCAGATGCGCTCTGCTTTGATTTCCGGCGGGAGCGCCGGGAGCGGCGGCCGGCACTAAACTTGCCGCCAGGGATCGCGTCGAAGATCTTCAAGCTCGCCGAGGCGGTTTCGAGATCCTGATCTTGCCAGTTCGTCGATCGAGAAGTGATTATCTATTTACTAATTCACCTTTACGGGTTTTCCCCCCTTTCGTACATGGTTTTTGCCCCTTTTTGTTTCGGTTTTCAAGAAGTTATCATGAAAAATAAGCATAGTACAGTGAAATTTAATATATGTATAATAATACAGATTAACTGGGAGAATTATAATCAAAATCATGGCTGCTTTTTATTTTTTATTTTGCTAATTTCCATTATCCTTTAAAAATATGTTTCATTTATAAAAGAATAAAATTTGATGCTTTGTATTTGAAATATAAAAAGCTAATCCAACCATTTAAATTGCATCTCATTTCTCAAAGAAATCATTATGTGCAGACATGAGAGAATATGCCACATCAACTGTATTGAGCTGTGTGGTATCGAGTTGTACCGAGTCATGGTACTCAATGCAAGTATGATCTGATGCATTTTGATTGATCTTTTGCGTCCGATCTTTGCACAGAATAATTAATCAATCCCTTGTGGATTGCGTGAGTATGGAAAATCTGAATTACATAGAATGTTAAAATAATAAAAAAATTATTTAATGATATAAAATAAAAATACTGAATAATTTTTGGAAAACTGAGTATGTAAATATTAATGAGGCAGTTCGTTTCATTTGGATAATGAAAATCATGAGATTGAGGTACCGTTTGGAATGAATTTTTTATTATTTTTTAAAGCAAATTTTTATTATAAAAATTTTACTTAAGTTATACTATAAAGTTATTTTAAGAAGTAATAAAAAAGCTGACTCAAATTAAAGTTTCGTTTGAGATGACTTTCTTATTATTTCTTAAAGTGATTTTTTAGTTTAAAGCCGATCCAAATAAAGGCTAAATCTGAATTTATGTAGTAGTGGTTCTTGAGCTTTGTTGCACATAAATTTAATTATGGGCTTTGGGAGTCGGCAACCACACGCACGGGGTTTTCATGATTTTGTGGTGAGAAAGCTGAAAGCGTGAGATGGATGTCTGGCTGCGTTTGCTACTTCCCATTTTCACTCTTTTTAAGGACCGTTGCAGCTTTTAAGCTGCCGTTGCTTTCCAGGAAGAAGAAGAGGCACCAACGAGGGACATATTGATTGTTGTCTGGCCCTATGGGCTTACACTTTGTCCCTTAACCTTTTTTAATGAAAGATTGGAAGATAGCCGTTGTGGCTTTGGTTTGACGTTTGAATTTTGAATTAAAGATTTATGCAATGATGGGGACTTAGGACTTCTTCACTCCACATTTTTTTCGTTAGAAATTGCACTAATTTGGGTTTGGGATGCAATTCAAGTGTTTGTTTTAATGTTTAGATAAAGTATTTGTGTAAATACATTGGTGGCATGGGGTAAGCAAAATGTCAAATATAGAAGATGATGAAGCTAGTAATAATGTTTGATATGAAGTATGAAATGATTCATGTCACGAGTATTTGATCAATTTTATAATGTTTATATTTATCCATTATATACTATAACTCTCTATTTTTCTCAATAGAACTTATAATGTTTGATTGGGATGTATTAGTAAAAACAAATTAAGTTAGATTAGATGATTATGTTTTGTTTGAGACGGCTTTATTAAAAGCAAAATTTTAGTATAAAATTAAATTTTTTTACTAAAAAATTATTTTAAGAAGCAATAAAAAGCGGTCCCAAAGAAAGCCTAAATTTCATTTAGCAGACCTACTCATACATAAACGCCATAGTGGATATTTCATGAGAAAACAGTTTATTGTCTATTTTTATGCAATATTGCATTGAAAATCATGTGAAAAGTAGCACACATAAATCAATAGGTTCTATTAATTAGCATAATATTACTTTGAAGAAAATCATGTGAAGGATTCGTAGGTCTTAGTTAAACCTATATTAGGTATCACATGATGTTCAATCTTGTTAGACTGATATAAATTCTATTAAAGTTCATTAGATGTTGAGATTTCAGTAATTTTTAAAATCATTTTAATTTAATTTATATTAGAATATTTTTATATAATCTTTTTAATAAAATAATAAGCTTATAATATATATTAATAATAATCATGAGAGAACTATCTAATCTAATTCTTTATACTTTATAGGGCATGAATAGATAGGCTTCTTTATAATGGAAAGTAATCCATCACTGTTGATCATTATCTGTACGTTATCTATATGAATCTAGAGTTGCAATTCATAATGATTTATCATTTTCTAACATAAGAATTTCCTTATGAAATAATTATTCCAATGGATTAGTCTTCCTTCTAAATTAACTAAGATTTTGTTTGGGAGAACTTTTTTATTGGTGTTATTAAATTTATTTTAGTGTAGATGCAATATAAATTTTAATTAATTAATCATGTATTGTATTTATTTTAAAATAATTTAATTGCTATTAATTTATTGTGATTAAATTTGAGTTATAATATACTATGTGATAAAAATGTTACATTATATTTGATGTATCTAAAATTTCACTTGATCCACATGAAAAAACTTTCATAGTTAAATTTGGGATCTTGCAAATTTCAATTTAAGTAACCTCATAGTTGAATTGAACATCTCGATAAGATGAACTCAATAACATCAAAGTGGTTCAATCCGAGTCCAAATGAGTCAAAATCAAGTTGTTGAAGTTTGGTTAAAAACTTCGGGATAATATAATCAAAGAATTAAACAATCTTTAAATTTTGCATGCCTATAATCAAATTGAGTGGTTCAATGTATCAAATCTAACAAACCTAAGATTAATAATCGAAGGATTTAATATGGGGAATCTAATGTTAATTCCAAAATATTATAAATAGAATCCACCCACCCAATTCTCTACATGGAAGAGACTAAGGTAGGAGATATTCGAAATATGAAGAACTTTGAAGCTCTACTCAACATTCAACACCAAAGATCACCACTAGTCATTACTTATATATTCTGATTGTAGTTGTCTGACAATTATCATCTGACCATCATTATTTGTCCACCATCTCTTGACTGTCATAGTCCATTCACCATCATTCATCCGCCATCATCTAACCATGGCCATTCGACCATTACCATCTAACTATTGTTGAATCATCAACCTCCTCATTGTCCAAAAATCATTGTCCAACTGCTCTCATCCATTTTCCATCATCATCATCCTTTCACTATTTTCTCCTACAGTCTACTACAATATTATTACAAAATTCATGCATTATTCATTATGAAAATATCTATATTAAAACGGTCCACATAAAGAAAAATATTTTATTTTATAGTACATAATACAATAAGCCTTATAAATATAAAAGAAGCAAATTCAAATGTTTGAACGATGAGGGCTATCAAAAATTCCAAAGAAAATTAATGCCAATTAACACAATGAATTTATACTCTTAGTTATTAATATAATTTTAATAGTTTAATATGCCCACTATGAGACATGATGGGGCCCATGACGTTAATGGGCTCCATGAAGGAATGGAAGACCAATACCTGTTAAGGGTTGGGGGACAGCTAAGGCCCGGCCTGTTAACAAATCAGGATACATTGGGGGCTTGAACCATACGATTCATCTCCCTATACGTACGTGACCACCCTGTGTATCCATGCTTTACACTGCAACCAAATGATGGAGACTTAACCTATTTTAAATTGGCTTTAATATATATGAACCCTATTAAGAAGACAATTGCTGTTCTCCATCTTTTAATTAATCATAATCGGATAATAGTGGTCAGACAAATATATTCGGACGATTGTGATGGGATAAGTATAATCGGGTTACAGTTATTAGAAGATCATGTTTAGGCTATAGTGGTTGGAGAGTCATATTAAGATGACGTTAGTTGAATAACTGTAATCAGACGAGAGTAGTTAGCTTATCATAATTGAATAATTGTTATTAGACAAGTGCACTTGAGGAAGTGTGGTCAGAGGATTATAGTTTGATGATAGTGGTCTGGAGACTGTGTTTCGAAGGCAATAGTTTGATGGTGGTTGTCTTAACTAAGATTCGAAGCTATGCAGAGTAACATACCCCTTGAATATAACCAAAATTCTAAACACACTTGTACAACTCATATTGATTCTTTCTAAGTGCTTAATAATATCATAATTAAATAATCTTATTGGTTGGATTTGTCTCATCAAAGCGCTCAAAAATTATTTGATCATCAAATTAATATACTTGTTGTGGGCTCGAATATACGCGACGATAGAGTTAGAACTTTATGTCTTAGCGTTGTACAGGTATTTAACACACAAACAAAGAACATAAGATTTTTACGTGAAAAACCCTAACAAAGGAAAAACCACGAGGTCACGCCAAGTTGAAATAATTCAACTAGTATCTGAATAGATTTCAAGTGAATGATTCGTCCTCAAAATTGAGAACGATCAGATTAAAAGAACAAAAATTTGACGTAAGACCAGTGATGTTCGGTGGATGGACAGAAATCTGGCATCAGTTGGCGGTTCGGCCGAAGTCCGATGTCGGTTCGCGGCTGGGCGGAAGTTCGGTGTTAGTCAGTGGATGGGCAGAAGTCAGGCGGTGGTTGAGGAATCTGGTGGTAAGAGAACTCTCTTCCTTCTTTGCTTGGGTCCCCTTTTCATGAGGAATGAGCAGTCTATTTATAGTTCGGGTCTTTGATTTGGACTCATTTGGGCTCGGATTGAGTCGAATTTGGTGTCGTTGGGTTCATATTTTCTAGACAATCTGTTCGACATTAATTTGACTGAAATCTGGGTCCGAATAGTCTCGGATTTAATTTCAGAAGCACTCATCTTGATTAATATTTACCTCGAGATTCATATATCAATACCAAAATTCTCAATTACGCTATAGATGCTAACCAATTCCAACACTAACAGTTCAACCAAATAAAAAATAAAAAATCTATATCCCAGTAGTTGTATCGAGCTGTCAGAATCGTTTACACTGACAGAAAAATTTAATAGTTTGTGAGGAAATAAATTATGAGCCGTGGATGTTCTGTCCAGTCGCCAGCTCACAAAACGTAGCCGACGAAGGTTAGAAAGGTACCAAAAGCAGTGCTTCTCAAACTTTAATTTAATACCAAACAATCATTATGCATGTGATGGGATAAGTATAATCGGGTTATAGTTATTAGGAGATCAAGTTTAGGCTATAGTGGTTGGAGAGTCATATTAAGATGAAGTTAGTTGGATAACTGTAACCAAGCGACAATAGTTAGTTGATTATAATTGGATAATTATGATTA